TTCTGTGATTCTGTGATTCTGTGAATTGTGCATGAGGTAGTTTGTTACTTCAGAGATTTTAAGAGGCAGAATAACTGCATTTGTGAATATGCCCAAGCATAGCTCAGACTTCCCCAAGTAATGAGCTTTTAAAGAACAGAATTTTCCCTTGGGTTTATTTTTTCTCTTCTGGCTGATTCTTTTGTCTGGACTACGGTAGCTGTAGGCCAGTGTCTAGAGAGTCATGTCATTTCCTAGACAAAGTTAGCTTGCATAATTCTTTTACATTTAGCTGATTTATTATGGGTTATTTCTGTGTGTCTTTCATAATATTTGGAATTGTAGTTTATGGCTTTCATAAGGGAAAGCATGCAGTCCCACATGTTTGTGTCTCTTTATTACATCAAAGAAGAGGCTAACAGCAGTGCACTCTTTTCATACGTTTTTGTTTGCTTTATTGTTTTTTTCTGAATTCACTACAAATCAGTGTCCAGTCTGGGTAACTTGACTATGAACTTCTGTCCTTTAAGATGCTTGGATTTCTTTGGTGTTTTTACCTTCACTCTGAATGTCCTAGGTTTACAACAATTACAACATGCCCACAATGGATTTACCCAGTTGCTCTCCAAAACTTAACTCCCTCCTAACACAGTTACTTTCTATGTATGGAAATTTAGATTTAAAAATACTGAAAGTAATAAAAAGACATGATGTAAAGCTTTGTTCCAGCCTGCTTGGTTTCATCTACTGTGTTTCTTAACTTGGAGGAAAAAAGCCTAATTTCCTATTTCTGCTAATTTAACTACTTCACTATTTTCTTATAGCTAATTTTCCTCATTTGCAAAAGCACTTCATTAGTGTTATGTATTTTTATTGCTTTCCAGGAATCAAGTATCAGCCTTGCCAGACCACAAGGACATCCTTAAAGCTCAAGACCTTTCTGTCATCATCAAAGCATATGTGCTTGTGACATCCTTAACACCTCTGCGGGCATTCATTCATTCAACTGCCACTGTCTGGCATCCACCCAAGAAGAAGCACTTTTCCGTAAAGGTAAAACGTTTAATTTCTTAATTTTTCCATCTTTCAGTTAAAGTACACAGACAGAAAAACAGATAATCTCTTTCTTCTCTTTTACCCCTTCTTTATTTGCAGTCCACAACTGACTGAGTATTCTCTTAATGTAAAACTTTAATTTCTCAGAAAAAGTGGGATTTTCTTCATGAAGAGTTGCCCTGTGCAAGTGGGGGTTATGAAGGGCTCCGGAATTTGCTTGCCTCAGAGTCCATTTTTACTGGTGACATTTGACAGCAGTTGCAAGGTTGGGATTTTCTCTAAAGCATAGCAGTGGGGGTCCTGTCATGCAGTAATGTCTTTTTCTCGGATATTGACAGCATTGTAAAAAAGGAAAGTAAACATTTAAAATAGTTTGTTTAGATTTCTTTCTTAGGTGCAGTGAAACAGTATGGAGGAGGGTCAGGGCACTTCTAAATAACGGGAAGGAAGTATACCATGGAGAGGGTGGACCTCCCGTTGTCTCAGTTTTATGAAGAAGGATGTTTCATGTGTGCCTTAACTGGATTAACTCTGGACATCTCCATGTGCCTGAAGAGACCTCTGTCTCTCCATGTCTAGTTTGCTCAGCAGTCTTATGAATTTCCAAACATGCAAGGAACTGTGCTTGCAATAGGGCAGCTTTCTGTGAAGGAACTACAGTTCTGTGGCTGCTCCTTTCCTTTTCAAGGAGTAAGGTCACAAAGTAGCAGCGATTTCTTGAGGTCACATAGATCAGCTCCTGCAGCAGCCACCTGAGGATGGGTGCACTTTGCTCATATAGCCCTCTTGGGGTAGGAGCAGGTCTTGGTTTTGGATTGGTCTGAGTGTTGTGGAGTCGCTGTCAGGGCTCTTGATGATGCCAGCCATTTGGTATGTTCTACAGTTTTAGCTCTTGCAAAGCTAAGTGCCTAGTCTAAGCTCATTATCTAAATACAGTTATTGGAAACAGACAACTCTAGAGAACAAATCATCTCACTCAATTTAGAAACCCATTTTGTTATGAGATGAGCTTCCTGCTAAAACCATCTGCTTCCTTCCATGGGCTATGACAGTCTTACAGAACATGCCAAATTCTAGATTTTCAAAATTATGTGAGAGTAACCTACTTCTCTTTCTTTCGCCATTTGGAAGCTATGGAAGGCTATGGAGATATATTATTTTGCCATCTGTTTTCCTCTATTTACATTTAAGAAGACTAATGGTCACTCACTTTCAAACCTTGGCCTTCAGCTTTGGTTTATGTTTATTAAAATAACACAATGTCCAGGAGCATCGCTATCACAGCTTAAGTAGGGGCTACTTTAAAGGCTAGCAGTCATTAGTAATTGTGATATGGCTCTGTAAAATAATTCCCACTGAGGGAAGTCTGCTGAACAGGGTGCCAGCCACCATTTACAGAGCACTTTGGCAGCTGAAGAAGCAATAAAAATGATAGATAGAAGCAGCAGCACAACTACAGTAGTTCCAATCTGGTCACTGCTGCTGTGGTGTTCTGTCTTCCATAGCTTTAGGCAGACTTGTCAAAATGGCAAGAAATAAACAAAAAATAGGCACCACAGGGAGCACATTTGTAGTGATGTATAGATTGAAACGCAAATTATCAAAATGGTGAAAAGTGGGGTGTATAAGACTGTCTCTCAACATACAGAACGTGGCCTTTAAATAACCTGGGAGGGGTCAGGGAGTCTCCAGAAGTGAGACACCGGGAATTCATGGAGGGGCCATGATTTGAATCCTTTGGGATGAGATTACATCAAGTTTATCATAAACTTCATGGAGCCATCTCTTGTTGCCAGTGGGATGTACAATCCCAGGAGAGTGATCTCCTCTGCCAAAGTAGCCAGTGAGGCTCTGCATGTTTGTACCAGCCAAGGAACCTGGTCCAGAAAGCTCCTAAGCTTTCAGCTTCTGCCAGCTCTATTGTGTAGAAAGGAGAATTGCTTGTTACGTTGTGAAGATTCAACCTGTCAATACTCAATAAAGACAGAAAGGGTCTCTAAGACTTGTTCTGAATACACACTGGTGTCACTGGGGACAGAACGTGCCTACAGAGGAGACTTTACTCTGTAAGAAGTTGCTAGTGTTTGATGTGTTTTTCCCCAAGAGCAGCTGACCGATTTTTTTTTCCACAACAAACAGATGAGAATAGTTTTAATCTGCTGCATTGCCATCACAGATGTGCTGCTTTCAGTAATGCAGTACAATAATTTAGAGACCTTCTCAGTGTATATAGGCCTCTGGTCAGCAAATTTTTTCATATCAGTATAATTAAACTATTATAGATCAGAAATTTATCCACAATTGTGGTTAACTTGGATATAACATTAATATCACAAACTCAGTATGTTAAGTTTAAAATTTGATCCCTTGCATACAACAACCCTTGTGGTTGCTAGAAGTAACCAGAATGTGGTATATATGAAGGAGAGATTTTTTAAAAGTCTGAAAATGGAGTACCAGGTGATATAAAATTATTAGATAAACTGTGTAAAGAAAAAACAAGGGATAAATGAATTAGATAATACTGCATTCTCCACTGCTTGTTTGTTAGTCACTATTGTAAATTATTTTTACAACTTATATTTGCTTATCCTAATCTTAGCGTCAAGACTTCAGAATGACTCTTTGAATAAGCATTGGCCAAATGGCAGTTCAGGAAGAGTTCAAATGTGTTTTGCTCACCAGCTGCCAGGTTTTCTCTGGATTATACATATTTTAGTATCTCAGGTCAGAAAGCAAACGAAAGTAAATCCTGAGCTGGCATGAGGATTCTATGTGTAGTCAAGGGGTGGCAAAAATGTGACTTTAGCTTTGGGCCCTGGTTAGGAAGATGCAGGAGATGAAGAGGAGATGGTGGCTTTCTGCCACACAAATGTTTTGATACAAAACTTACGTAACAGCCTTATTTCCTTGAGGAAATATGGAAACGCCTTATTTAGACCATCTGTGCGATGAAAAATTAATAATAAAATAGAAACTTTCTGTTTTGCATATGGTAGCAATTAAGGGGTGGGTCTCCGTCAATATATGCAATACATCCCTTTGTGTTAATCAACATTATGCATGTTTACTGAGCAGAAGGCTGCCCTTGAATAATTTTCTGCTTTATAGAAGCTGGTGTGCAAAACAGTAATTTATGATTAATTATCTCAAAGTTTAACACACTGCTTCCTTTGCCCTGCCATTAACCTTTCCAACCTGGTCCCCATTCTTAATGAAGGTTGCACTTTTGTAGACTGTAGTGGTGCCACGTCCTACGTTACCTGGGAAGGCTCCTCTGTGCTGTCAGCAGCTTCCCACGGCCCCCCACTCTGGCTCCCTGTCCTTTCACTCATCCAAAATAGATGGTCAGGTGCCTGCTGGATTTGAATTCCTTGACTGGTGTTCTTGCATAACCCTCTACAACCTCAGCTGATACTATGCTCTTAAGTGATTTTCCAGTTGTGCAGTGAGGTAAACGTAATTTATTAAAGTCATTTGCTGTTAAGCTTGCTACAGTTAAGTCACTATAAGTATTGCTGAAATTGTCTCTCTGTGTATTAAGCATTTGAAAACTTGAATAAAGAGAAATATTTTTTATACTTAACATATATGCAAATAAAACTGGACCCTCACCTACCCAGGAAATATATCTTTTAATAAATATGACGTGAATGTCTGGCTTAGAGCCGAACACTGTGAAAATTAGGTTGCAGTATTGCCCTCAAGTGGCCAATTTTGATACTACTTCAAGAAACAGCCACAGATATTTAATGTGAGAGATTGCAAAGATACACGCAGATAAAGAGCAAAATACTTAGAAACAGCAGAAAGGCTCAGAATTTTTTCCATTTGTTTTAATTTTGAATTCCATATTTTTCCCCTGTCACTTAGAAGGAGAAAATATAAAAGATAATTACCATCAACTATTAATCAATTAGATTGCAGGATTATTTGGAAATAAAATTAAATTTGTTCGTTGGGTTTTGTAAGAGTTTAGCATATGCATTTCACTGTTCTTGCAGCAGCCTGTGTAGAAAATAAAATGCTGTAATGTTCTTCTTCCTGGAAGACTGAGCATAAAATTAATGCCATCTCTGTTTTCTGTCCTCATAGTATCTAGAGCCCTATCATTTCTCTTTTCTGTCATATAAGAACAAAAGTCTGTCTGGGCTGTGGGAAATCAAGGACATGCTTAGTCTGACATTCTGTTTCTGACAACAACCAGGCAAGAAAGCATCATGAAACTGTGTAACAGGACAATCATAAAGTGCTACTCGTCCCTGGGCAGACTACAGCTATTTCTGGTAGCCTTCAAGGTTAGAAATGCAGAACTGGAAGTGGAATATATATCTTTATTTTTAATAAGCTCCAGTGGACTTTTATGCCATGCAGTTCTCTACTAGATTTTTTAATTCAAATGCTTTTGTTCTTTTCAACATCCTACAGCAATGAGACTCTACAGATTATTTATGTGTTGCTTGAGAAAGAATATTTCCTTTAAAACTTCTACCATATTACTTAATCACATATCCTTAATTCTTAAGAGAAGAATGACTAACCCTTCCTTCTTTATTATCTCCATGTCTATGCCAATCTGTCATGCAGTGAACAGATAAAGTTAAAATTCTACCTGGAGTTCTTTTCTGCCCTTCTCATTATGAACATCCCAGTTTAGCTAGTAAGAGCTCTGGACTAATAACATGTGGATATGTAATAAGTAAGCCTCCATTGTTATCCAGGCCCTTAGCTCTCTCCTTTTTTCCTGGTCCACAGATGCTCTTGCTCTGGCTGTTCAATCCAGGCAGCTTTGTAAGGATGTCTCTCTGGGTCTCCCAACTTTCCTAGACCTACTTCCCATTATCCCAATTCTTCTCATCTTTCCCTTTTTGCTTTCCAAATTCATTAGTCAAGCTGATCCACAGAGAGCTGGGAAATGCTGTTAATAAACCACCTTTACTTTTCCACTAAGAAGTTGGTGCTGGATTGGGAAACCATTCTTACTTCAGTGTTAGTCA